CTGGCCTTTAATGTTGTGTAGCCTTTAATGTTTGTGTGTAAATTCTAATGAATTTATATTTATGTGTAATTTTTTACCTTTCTCTAACATCTTTGAAGATTTTGTCCATGTTATTTATCATACTTTTGGCACAATGTGATAGAGAGAGATTCTCTTTTGGTTGTGGTTATTCAGGGTTCTATATGCATCACTTGTCTGTATGTTTTCTTTCCCTATATTTGGGAAGTTTTCTGCCATTTCAGTAAGCAGATTTTTAAAAAATACCATTTGTGCTGTTTTCTGCTTTTTTTCACTTATTTCCATTACTCTTTAATATTACATCATCTGGCAGCTGTTGGCGCATTTTTCATGCTTTCTTCTTGTTTTTAAGATGCCTTTGAATACTTGGTCAATAAAGGCATCATTGTCCTTTAGGTCTGAAATTCTGTCCTAACATTGACTAGTTCTGATGCTTATACTTCCTTTTTTTTTTAAAAAAAAATTATTTAAAGAAAGACGAAACAGAAAATGAGTAGAAATAATATATACTTTCAAAAAAAATAAACAGTAAGAAATCACTAGTTGATGATTACATATTGTCCTCATACAAATATGTTCAAGATGCAAAAGTGAAACATACAAAGTGGGGATTCAAATAGCAAGACTGCAAATGGTTCTGTTCAACTATCAAAAAAAAAAACTTAGTAATATAGTTATCAATCCTATACACTTAAACATACATGAAGTTATCCATATCTTAATTTATGTTGAGATTAAACAAACCACAGCAGGCTAAAAATCACTCTGAACAAAGAATAATAGTATTGCTGGATTTCACATCATGACACTATGGGATTAGCACTGGGTACTGTAGTGTTTCTTCAAAGTATTTGTTCATTTCATCATGCGTTATAAGGTCAGTTCTTGTAAACTGTTTATAGGTCTAACACATGCATGAGTCCCAACATGTATTTCTATCCTTTCTATATTAGAGGGAGAAACAAAACAAAGCAAGACAAAACAATACATATTCCTATAAACACATGAAATGAAAAAGACATATAAAACCACTGTACAAGAAGTTCTACAATGGTTACTGTGTTGTCTCTTGTTATCTTCAATAGAATTACCTATATCATCAGACATAGTATAATTTAATATAGCAGTACATAACAATATTAATAAAAACAAAACTTTGTAGATAGTGTAAAACTTCAAAAACATTCCAAACCAGAATGGGTTTCGTAGTCAATCTTGTCATCTTCAGTATAGTTGCCTATACTTTCAGACTTGATACTATCAATCATAACAGTTTTGAATAAAATCTATTGATACCAAACAGCAATCGAACAAACCAGATTTAACTAAGATCAGTCATGATAAAACAGTATAAGTTATACAGGGCTCCAGATTAAGTTAATAGGAAAGTAAAGGTGATTACTATATTCTGTTGTTTTTGGGATAGCTGTTTGTGCCCTCAGATCTAGTGCAAGTAGACAAACTGGGACAGAATAAAATCTATCTAAACAGATCAGTGAGTAATGTGGGTTTCAAATCCTGACACACTATTAACACTATCCTCTGTCATCTTTTAAAAGACTATTCCTCCCTTTCACTCTCCCAGGGTGCACTATGCATTTTTGGGTCTCACCAACACCCTCAGTTTTTAGACTTGGGGGGCAATCTGCTATTTACCTTAGTGGTTCTGAACCTTCTCCCTTCTGGACTTGATCTCTAGTTGTATTACTTTACTTATTAAAGCCTGTCTTTCCAACCTATCCACAAATACTGGTCAAGTTGCCCCTATTACTCTCTGGTTCCCTGTCACATAGAGCATTGTTTTCTCATATTTGATTTTCAGTCCATAAACTCTTCTTCAGGTTAAATATATTTCCTGTAAAGAGCATCTCAGTGGACTCTACGTCCTGATCTACTCTGCCTGTCTCTCTCTCTCTCTCTCTCGTGTATCAAGGCCATCTATATTAAAGATTATAGCCTACCTTCTCTGCCTCATTTCTGTTGTGCTCTTTTTCTCTCATTAGTTGTCTGCTTTTCTCCTTCATTCCACTTTCTGCTCCATTCATTGAGGCCTCTCTTCCACTGTTCCTGGAATCCTGGTACTTTTCTCTCTCTCTAGAATATCCTTCAGTATTCTCTGTAGAATTGGATTTGTGGCCACGAATTCCCCCAGTTCCTCTTTGTCCTGGAAGCATCTTGTTTCTTCATTAATTTCTAGAGACAGTTTTTCAGAGTACATCAATCTGGGCTGGAGGTTATTTTCTCAGGGCTTAGAATATTTTGCTCCAAGTTCTTCTTGATTTTATCGTCTGTGTCAAGAAGTCTGCTGTGATTTTGATGGGTTTTCCTTGATAGGTAATCTGTTTCTTTTCCTCTGACAGCTTTTAATATTCTGTTCTTATATTGAATTTCTGGGATCTTGATTACTATATGCCTAGGTGTAGCTCTGTTTTGGTTGTAGGTGGCTGGAGTTCTGTATGCCTCACACATCTGAATATCATTTTTTCCTTAATTATTTCTGAGAGTAGCCTTTGTAGTTCCTTTGTTTGTACCCCTGCTTCTTCATTCACAGTCTTTATTCTTAAGTTATAGATCCTCTTGTCATCTTCTAGCCTTTGTATTGTTACTGTCTTTCTATTGTTTCCTCATTATTTTTAAGAAATTTTTCCTTTCATGATCCCACATTGCAAACCTGTCCTCCAGTTTGGATAACCTATCCTTAGTTTCCTGGTAGGATCCCACAGCTGCAAATCGACTGGAGTCCTCAGGCCATAGCAAGATGAACCCCTAATTTGAGAAACTGGAAGAAATCTATGACTTCATGTGACAATTCTCTGATCCATACAGGGAGCATGGGACTTTTTCTTGTTGCTTCCTCTTACATTTTTGGTTTCTTCCATACAGATGTATAGAGGAAGTATAGTCCCTTTCCTGGTTAGTTATGGCTCTTCTGAAGCATGCTGGCTAGGTAATGCTTGCTAGATGCAAACCAGGGCAGCATATGCTGGTTCCTCCCCTCCAGGTCAGTCAACCTGCTGAGGCCTTCACTGTGTTAGTGTGTGCCCAGTGTACAGAAATGGCTTGGGACAACCTATTGGGTCTCAGTCAGGGGCGTGATCCAGGCCAGGCATATCCCCCAATCTCGTCTGAGAAGGGAACAATTGACTGAAGTCACTGCTGTTCCTTGTTCTTGCCATTCTTGCCTGATTCCAAAATGTCATCCTGTTGGTGCCCCTTTCCTGTGGAAGGGTTTTATTCCTGGCACCCACCACAGGTCAGTGCAGGTCCTTTGCCAGTTCTGGTCTCCACTGGACCTCTGACTTCAGTGCAACTGCACTTCAGTGTGACTATGGTTTCAGTGAGTCGAAGTGGCGCATGAGAGCACATAATCTTAGCTGCCTCAGTAGTAGCCCCAGGACCACATGTTTGACTAGTTCTTCTTGCTTTAGCTTCTTCCTGGTTTGAGAGGATCCATCTCCTTCTGTCCTGGACTCCCCACATCGTGTTATTTTGGCCTCTGAGTTGTCTGTCTCAGGGAGCTTCTGTATTCTGCTCTTATCTATCAGCCGTCTTTACCAGAAGCTGATGCTTATACTTTCAATATGATTTTTAATCTATATTTTTAGTTGGAACTTTTTCATGGAAATTAATTCTTTGGTAAACTGGTCATTTACATTTTGTCATTTTGTTTAGCCCATCTAGCTTTTTACTAGTGTCTTCTGGAAGCTACCAAATTTCTTTGGTTATTACTTCCGTTATCTATTTAGTTACAATTGCTCTGATCTCACTGAGTACCTCTTTGATCTATTTTTAAACCTTCTTTGTTAGCCTTTTGAGTATCTCAGATGTTTGTCTATGCTGTGCTGACTCTCAGTGCCCAGCTTAACTTCAGGAGAGCTAGGGTTTGGGGAGGCATTTTATTGCCTTTTCTTCTCATATCTCTATTGTTGGTTTTGTGCTGAGGTTTGTGGATATTCTAAAGAATTTGTTGCTAGTACAGAGATCTCTTTAGTTGCTTTTCAGTGATGTGTTTTTGGTGTGGTTAGGTGGATGTCCTTTGCCTTAGCTCCAAAATCTGACCACGTTGGTTAATTTGGGAGGGAGAATGCCATGTAGTTAACCCAACAACCAAGTTCTCTGGGAATGTTCTCTAGTATCGCAAAGTTAATCAAGAGTGTTAGTTTACAGAGAAATAGTGACAATTATGTGATCCTGTTAATATTATCAGAATCTGCTACAGCATTATTGTTCAAGACAAACAGAATATTTAATATACCATAAGAACCAGTAACTACCACCCTTAAGCTTAGAGAAGAAGCTCACAAAGGTGGTGTAAATATTAAGACAACCCGGGTACTGACATACAACTGATATGTACTAAATGCAACGACTATATCTTCACTAATGGTAGAAAAGATTTTGACAGTAATTTTACAATCAACTATCAAAAGATTAACAAACTGTGATTCTACCATTAAAGATACAGGCTTGGGGAACAGGGGAATACAAGAGGAAAGTTCAGAACCTTAAATTCTGAATTTAAGGTTCAAAGAAGAGAAGAAGAAGAAAATGGATCAAAGAATATTGGAGAATAGAAGGATATTTGTAGCATTAGCTAAAGATAAGAGGAAAAAACTGATGAAAAATATAAGCTAAATATAAAAAGGAGAAAGAAGTTAGAGAGTAAAAAAAAAAGACACAAATTAAAAAGAAGAGATAAAAAATGAGTAATGAGAAAAACAAGAAAGAAAGACAAAGGGAAATTCCCAAGACCCAGTAAACTGGTGAAAAAAAGGAGGAAAGAAAGGAAGAGAAACAAACAAACAAACCAAAAAAACCCCTGAACCAATCAACCAAATAAAAAAAAAACCCTCTAAAAAATAGCATACACACACACACACACACACACACACACACACACACACACACAAACCAAAATACAACCCCCCCATCACCAAAAAAGGAACTGCTGTGTGATTTTAAGCATGTGGTTTTCTTTCCAGATCTACAATTTCAGGGCAATGTCCAAGACAAGACCTGCTCCTGCCTGTGCTGGTAGATAAAGAGGACAGTCAGATCCCAGAGGAGTGCTGAAGGAAGACACCTGCCTGAACCACCATCCAGCTCACAGCATCCACCAGCAAGTAGGTTCTCCTGCTGCATTTCTCCCAGAAGCCCTCTGGATTTCCCCACTTTCTCTTTTAGATTTGGTCTTCTTTTCTCGTGAGCTATGAGCTGGGAGCTGGGGAGAAAGTGCAGGTTGTCCTTTCCCTTTCCACATTGTGTTCTCTCTTTTTAGGTTCTTGGTATAATTTTTTTCTCTGATCCTTTCTGATTCCTGAGGATCTGCTAACCTCTTTTTCTTTTTTTTTTCTTCCCCAAGTTTTTTTCCCCAGTGACTCGCTTCTGAATCTCAGGTTGAATTGTTACCACGTCACCATTTCCCTGGAAGTCTTTCTGGATCACAGATTTCTAAAATAATAAAGTACTCATGAAAAGAACAGTCTAATATGTGAGCTTATTAGCCACATTATCTAATTTTCAATTTCTCTGCTTATCCAGATCTTTAAAAAAATAAACATACCTTCCAGGAAATCTACAAGAATTTATACTTGGCATTCTTTCCTTAAAACAGTGTATGATGTCTTGAGAGAATTTAGCACTACATCTAATCTAGTTTTGCTTTGAATTACTTCCTGTCTAAGTCCATGAATGTCTGATGCAGGAGACCCACAGCCTTTGTGAGTACTTAACTCTCTTTTTTGAATGGTGCCTGTAGGTTTCTATGTAATTTCTAATAATCCTATAAAGCTGAAAAGAGAAAGAACCAATCCAGAAAGACCTTTGAATAGTGAGACTGAATTTCCCTTTTGGGATTAATTTTTTAAATAATCTTTTACTTAGAGAAGAAATTGGCAAAATGGACTCTTAAGTGATCTGAGGGATCATGCTGAAAGTGGGAGTTAGCTTACCGAGGTAAAGATCCCTGCCTGGTTTTCAGTAACCTTTTCTTCCACACATGTGATGCTGGGTACTGAGAACTATGCAGTGATTTGGTTTTGGTTCCACACCAAACCATTTGGTTGTGATTGTCAAACATTCTTTTGAGGTTATCATATATGCTGTAACAGTTTTCGTAGGACCCATCAAGAATGAAACATCACACACAGATGGGCACAGTAGCCCATATCTGTAATCCCACCTACTAAGGAGGCTGAGGCAAGAGGATCAAAAACTTGAGGCTAGCCTGGCAAATCAATGAAACCTTATCTCTAAATTTAAAAAAAAAATAAAAAGGCCTGGCGATGTAACTCAGTAGTAGCATGCCCCTGGCTTAGCTTACTAGTATAAAAAAAAGAGATAATTTTAAATTTCTTATAGATCTACAACCAGAAAGGAATAGTGTTATTTTAAAGATATATGAAGCCTTTAAATAAATACCATTTTCTGGTTCTTTCCCAATATATATCTGTGAATACTTGCAAACAAAACAATCTCCCAGGAAAGGTTCCAGAATATTCTTTTGCAGAGATAGGCATCTATTTTCTTTAATTTGTTTGTTTCTTGAGACAGAGTCTCACTATGTAGTTCTTGGCCTTGATTTCACTATGTAGTCCAGGTTGGCCTCAAACTCATGGTGATCCTCCTGCCTCAGCTTCCATGTGCTAGGACTGTAGGTGTGCATGATCACACCCAGCTGGAATCTTCTTTTCTAAATACAATGTAGAGGTATGGATAATATGCGGGTAGGATTACTGGCTGTCTGACATGCTGTGATGTTTTTCAGCATACCAAAAAAAAAAAAAAATGATCCTTAAAGTCAAATCCAGTTACCCAAGAAAACCAGCTGATCATCCCAAGGAATAGTACCATGGGAATCTAGATGATTACTAAATGAAAATGGACACAAACCCAACTTTAGTTTGTGTTGCTTTGACCAATTCAAAAGTGATTTGTGGTTGAATATTAGACTCTTAACATGAAGTAATTAGAGATTCAAAAAGCAAAGTTAAAAATAGGAGCCCCTATAATAATAATACAGAGAAAACAGTGAAATAAAACTTAAACTAGCAGAAGAGGAATGAAGATGGCTAGGAAACAAAGAAAGAAAGAGTGTAGATTACATGTCACAGTGTGGGCATGTTTCTAGGATTTGCTTTGGCAGCTGCCATGTCTCTTACAGGCATCTACTTGGAGTGAAGCTTCTGCTTCTTAGGTCTCCATTGATGATTACTCCTGGAGGGTTCCTGAGACTACTCACATTTTACTTTCCACTAAAATGATCTTACAGGCACCTGAAGATGGTTTATTCCTCTTTTATTCAGAATTACAAATCCTAACTTTCACTGCTATGGTAGGTCCTACCAGAACCTGACAGGATCCTTTCCTTCAGAGTTCAAAGGCTTTCTCTAATTGTCCATCCAGAAGCCTGGGTCTCTAGGTGATGCGGGTAGCTAGATATCTTCATGAAGCCTCATGGACTCATAGATAAGACTTTTTAGAGCTGTATGATACTGGCATTAAGGGTGCGTGGTACTAAATTAATCCACTGATTGAAATTAATGTAGTTCTAGGTGGCACCACCCAGAAGACTGGTAGCCTAGAGAGAATACATGGAAAGAGAGGCTGTTGCTGCTGCTTGCTGCTCCACGGCCTTTTGCTTGTTATACCATGGACTACTACTGCTCTATGAAGCCCCTCTGCTGTGTCTTCCTGCTTTGGAACCAGATGACTATCTGAAACTCCTACAAATGGTGAGCTAAAACACATCTTTCTTTTTTAAACTTTGAGTATTGCATATTTTATTTCAGCAATGAGAAATGTAATCAAGATACTAGATTTTAGGTCATGAGAGGATCTTAAGGAAAGATTCATGATAAGACTGGGTGCATTGTGTGAATTTCCTATAGTATTTGGCAATTTCTGTTTGCAACATGTGGAGTCCAGAACTGGATTGTAGTCCTAGATGAATGGATTGATTTGTTATTATATAAGGTGTTATGGCTTATGTCTAGATGTTCCCCCAAAGCTCATGCAGTAATCATTGGGGTTTTTTCAGAGGTCCCTCAATATAGAGTTTGTGATGCTGTAATCAGTTCATGAAGCAAGTTAGGATCAAGAGTACTAGCATTAAGGGTGTGAGTGGTACTCACCCTAAGTACATGGGTAAGATATAAGGAATAGAAAGAGATATAGTCATCCCTTGTTGATTGGCTGCATTCTGCCTGCCATGAATCGTTTCTCTTCTGTGGTGCCTTATTTGTTATCTACTCTCCCTTGAACCAGCAGAGTACAAACTAAAACCTCCATAAACCATGAGCTAAATAAGCCTTTCCTTTTTTAACTTTGGGTGTTGGGTATTTTGTCTCAGTAATGAGAAAAGTAACTAAAACAGAGAGCCTGGCACTGAGGAGTTGATAATGCCTTAGGATGTGAATTTTATAACATTATTGTGCTCTGGACCTGTTTCATGGGAATGGCTTGTTAGATGGGGCCTTTGTAGGGTGGGGAAAGCTAACTCTGGGTAGAAGCAGAGCCAAAGAAATCTGGCATTTACAAACAGTAATGAAAGAGTTGCTTTTTAAGAAAGATAAAGAATTCAACTGAAAATACATGTACTAGGAAAATTGATTATACTTTTGTCTTTCTAAGAGGCTTCACTTCTTTGAAAACAGTAGGTAAGAAAGGAGGTATCCTACCTGCATGTTCTAACAAAGATTTGGCCATAAAAATGAAGCAGCCAGACTAAACACAAAACAGTCATACCAATGAGACAAGCAAACCAAAAACTGCCCATTGAGTTTTTCAGTGTTTTATTAATAACTTATTTTTTGTATTTTACTACCCTGCCTGTAGCAGTGGTTGTCTTGCCTTGAGTTTTTATAATATTAGGTTACATGTAGGATTTGTATGTCTAAGATAAAATTTAATATGTATTAAATGTTAAAGTTATTTGATGGGCAATAATTTCAATAATTTATATATTATATATATGTTGCATAATTTCCTTGTGTTTATTTGTGTTTCTCAGAGTTCTGTAGGACAGAGGTTAGAGTGGAGTGACCCCAAATTTGGACCCCAAACTGAATAATTAAAAAAAAATCTCAGCAAGGAAATTATCATGACATACTTAAGAAAATCAAAATTAGTGCAAAAAATATTTACTAAACACCATGTGAAAACTATAAAGAAAAGATCTGACCCTAGACTTGAATAATTCTTTTTTACTCACTTCACTTTAATCCTGGCCCTGATTTCAGTACAATTTTACTTAAAAATTAAGCAACTAAAAAAACTAGGCAACTAGCTGAAGTGATCATAATTTGCTGACTTTTTTTTTTTTTTAAAAAAACCACCCTGTTAGGCTATTATTTATCTTGATTACTTCTTGTCTTAGTCTGTTTCATATTGTCAGAATACCACACTATGGGTAATTTAAGCTGTATAGAAATTTGTTGGCTTGTGATTCTGTAGCCTTGCACATAGTGGGGGCTTTATTGTTGTATCATCCTGTGGCAGAAGAAAGGAGGGTGATAGAGGGCAAGAGCAAGAGAGGACAAAACTTAGGTTTTTATAAGTCTACTCCCATGATTGTGACAGTAATAACGAAGGCAGCATCTCTGAGACATCATAATCTCTTGAAGTTCCCAACTTCCAACACTGTTTCACTGAGGATAAGTGTCCAACACATGAACTTTGAGGTACATATTCAAACCAGAAATGTGGGACATCTACTGAGGGAACCTGCAGAGTGTGAGTAGATCCAGCCCAAGAGAGAGGCTGTGTGGGATGCAACCAGCAAGACTGTTGGGGTGAGGCTGCCCAAGCTCCTTGAAATTCATACCTTACCACCTTGTGCCCCAGATACCTGATATATATCTATAGGATTTCATGTTCATTTTGCATTCAGTCTTTGTTTTGTTCCAAATTTTTTCTGTCCTCTTATACTTCCATTTTGGGATGTACCACTGTACCTTGGGATTGTGTAATTTATTTTGATTTTTATAGAAGCTCACAGCTAAGAGTTTGTGTTGAGTCTCCCAAAAGACTTTGACTTGGGCTTTTGAAAAATATAACTACTGAGGTTTTGGGGAGGGGAATATTGTGCTTTTAGTTGTAAGCAGGATACCTAGTTGTATTATGTTAGGAAGAATTATGAGCTCGCTATTGTCTGATTTGGAGCTTAAGAATGGTTTAAGGAGATGTGTTTGTGTATGGTGCTGACCAAGGATGGATGCAGCAATTAGGGTGAGGTGTCAATTTGCTTGAGTTTGAGATTCACATGGAGGATTGATGGAGCACACTTCTGGGTATGTCTGGATAGGGCATGGAGTCTAAACTGGTCTTGGAGTCTAGACTGGTGCCCTGCCCCTTTCTTTCTGGTGCTGCTCCTCTTATCTGTTTCCTGGTCATCCTGAACAAAGCAGTTTTGCTTTAGTGAGTCCTTCTGCATAATGTACGTGCCTTGGAAATTTCCAGCTAGGTACAGATTCCCTTAAAATTGTCAACTCAATTAAACTTTTATCTTTTTGTGAGTATCAGGTATCAGCAACAGGAAATCTGACTAATACATTAAGAGTTTGTACAATTAATCTGTAATATTTGAGTGCTATCGTTAACAGACCATGTACTTTGCAATTGGTAATCATTAGACCAAGAGGTTAGTGTTTCTTCATTTTCTCAAGAAGTAGGAAGACGATAAGAATTTTCAGTCTAGTAAATATAGTATAAGGTACAAATAGGGGTGTGGGTTCTGGTGGGTGGAAATGAGGAAAGGTTGTTTGGAAGAGAGGAAAACATAGTCACTTTATATGGCTTTTTGGTTAAAACTGTGAGATATTTGTGGGTTTCACATTAGTCAACTTTCATTATTCTCTTCCATCTTCTTTGATTCACATGGTTTCAATTTCTTTCAAAACATCTTTGTTTCAAAGCTTTATAGTCATGAACTAGAGTAGTTGAAAATGTTGACAAAAATTTTAGAAGCAATCATTGAATTTTGCACAACTTTACCACAGTTATTTTTAGTGTGAAAATAGTGCTTCTTCATAATAAACAGGAGTTAGGAATATTTATGTCATTATTATGTAGTCACTTAAAGGGAAATAAGACTATAATGTCATATATATTTTCTGGGAACACAATTTATTGGAAAGCTAAAAGTTGGAGATTATATAGATGGGTATATAATATATATTATAAATATATGATATAGATTATGTATTACATAAATAATGCATATATAATATAATGTATATGTGTATATATATAATGTACATATATAATGCATATACATGTGTAATATAATGTAAAGATCCATATATATAAAGAGGCATAATTTCATTCTGTTGAAATTAGCATTTACCTAAACTGGAAAAAAGGTGGCTATTTTGAGTCCCACTAATTGTATTTGATATTACATTTTAAAAATATTTAATTTAAATAGTTTACCGTATCTTTTGAAGCCCAGATATAATTTTTATCTTGAAATGAGATAGAATGAAACAGGAAAGTTAGTGAAAGATAACATCAATTTTAAAAGGAAGCAAAAATATTTTCTTGTGGAATCATATTAATGGTCAGCATATTTAATTACTTGACTTGCCTACTAATTCTATGTTCATAACAGATGCATAATTCAATTAATTGTGTGCATTATGTGTTCTAATTCATTTAAGGGAAATGAGCTATTATCATCATCCACAACTATTTATGGGGTGTCTAATAAAAGTGCAGGATAAATAGACTTTTTACTTCGAGAAATTTAGAACTAAAATTAAAAAAGAGATGACATCTAAAAAAAGGCATTCAGTAATCATGAAAGACACATAAAGAGTGCAATAGAAAGTGATAGTCACTTCATAGTTCATTAATAAATACCAACTGGATGGAGGCAAAAAAAATATTTTTGAGTACCAACTCTTGCCAAGCACTGTAGTAAATAGTTCACATTCTGTTGAATGTGGTGAGGTGGAGGCCACCGGGTAGAAACATACGGTAGAAATCTATGCACTTGAAGGAGGAGACTGTCCTTCCTTCAAGGGAAAAATGAGAAATAGGTCAGTGGCAAGACTTTTAAGAGACGGTCTTGGACAGCTGGCTAAGTGAGGTGATGTCATGGAGACTCTTTTAGGTGAGTTAATGTGTGCTCACTTTTTTCAGGAAGTAAAGGAGACCTGAAATGGTTTTGAGCAGAGTGACCTAACCAGAGCAGTACGTGGCAGACACAGTAGCCTGAGCTTGGGGACGGTGGGGACACTTGGAGATGGAAGCAGAGGCAAAGCCGGTCTACCGTGAAGGCAGCATTCTGACTTGGGAGACGGTCTAAGTAGGGTTTGTTAGGACACTTATGAGTAGTAGTGATTTTTATTCACTTATTATCAAGAATTCAGAACCAAAGTATCTTCTCTGGTTTGCTGCTCATCCTGGGAGCCCTTGATTGTATGAAATAAATGTTGAATAAATACAAGGTTAAATGTTTAGCATACACTGCTGTTTGGGGTTAGTTTGTGGAGACATTCAGGGAAAGTTAAACAAGAGCATGCCACTTCTCTTCAGATTTTTGGAAGAAGTAAGATTTGGGAAGGTTGGTGAAGGAGGGAGAGTGAGCCTGGGGCGGCCTTGGGACAGTGATGCGTTTGCTTCATATTTCCTGTCCATGTAAGCTGCCATCCATTCCATTCGACCCACATTCTCGAGACTCCCTTAAAAGAATTTTTCTTTGGGCTGGGGATTTAGCTCATTGGCATCAAAA